GGATCCCCCATCAATCCCAGATCAAAGACCGGGAATATGGTGGGAAAAATCTCCTTGGGCCAAAAGATTCCAATCAAAGTGAAAAATGGCAATTTTGAAGCTTCTCCCAGAACTCATTTCCCAGTTTTTCCACCCAAAATCTCACAGGAAGTTCCGGAGGGGCGTTGGAATTCCCACACCGCAGCCTCTGCCAGTGCCCGGCACGGATTGGGATCAGGATCTGCAGTGCCAAACCCACTCCCTTCCCAAAATTCCCTGTTTGGGCCAAATCAGCCCCAAACTGCAGCATCCGGCCCTGCTGCCCCAGGGGAGGAATCTGCCCGATCCTGCCTGGAATTACACCAGGAATTAGAGTGCAGGGTATTCCCGAAATTTGGGTTTAATGATTTTTAGGAGCTTTTCCTCCCAAGGATTTGTGGGATTTGCATCGCAGCAGCTTCAACGCAGAGCTGTGGGAAGCTGCGGGATTCTGTGGGATGCTGAGGGATGCTATGGAATGCTGTGGAATTCTGGGGATGCTATGGAATGCTGTGGGGTGCTGCAGGATGCTATGGAATGCTGTGGAATTCTGGGGATGCTGTGGAATGCTGTGGGATGCTGCAGGATGCTATGGAATGCTGTGGGATGCTGCAGGATGCTGTGGAATGCTGTGAAATCTTCGGGATGCTATGGAATGCTGTGGAATCCTGGGGATGCTATGGAATGCTGTGGAATCCTGGGGATGCTATGGAATGCTGTGGAATCCTGGGGATGCTGTCCCAGCAGCTGCTCCCTCCTCCCCTGGCCCCGCTGGCCGTGGAACCATTTCCCTGTCCCGACATCCCGGCTCTGAGCCCACTCCTGCCCTCAGCAGAGCCCTGGGAATGCAGGGCCGGGAGTTTGGGAAGCACTGACCCAGCCCAGCGGGATGGGCAGGGATGGGAGAGCCGGAGCATTCCCGGGGCAGGGATCAGGCCAGAAACATCAGGGAGATGGAAAGGAGAAGTGGGATGGCGGGATACAGGGATCCAGCAGGAATACAGTCAGGGATCCAGGCAGGAATATCAGCACGGGTTCAGCAGGAATACAGTCAGGGATGCAGGCAGGAATATCAGCAGGGATTCAGCAGGAATACAGACAGGGATGCAGGTAGGGATACAGGCAGGGATATGGATAGAGAACTAGGCAGGAACATGGGCAGGGATCCAGATAGGGATCCAGGTAGGGATGTAGGCAGGAATATGGGCAGGGATCCAGGGAAGAATCCAGGCAGGGATCCAGAAGGGATCCAGGTAGGGATACAGACAGGGAAATGGGCAGGGATACAGACAGAAATCTGGGCAGGGATCCAGGCAGGGATGTGGGCAGGGATATGGACAAGGATCCAGGCAGGAATATGGATGAGGATCCAGGCAGGGATATGAACAAGGATCCAGGCAGGGATATGGACAAGGATCCAGGCAGGGATATGGATGAGGATCCAGGCAGGGATATGAACAAGGATCCAGGCAGGGATATGGACGAGGATCCAGGCAGGGATATGGACGAGGATCCAGGCAGGGATATGGATGAGGATCCAGGCAGGGATATGGATGAGGATCCGGGCAGGGATAGGGCAGGAGAAGGCAGGTCTGTGCTGCAGCCCCCCCAGCTCCCGGAGCCTGGAGCTGGGAGCGGGGGCTGCAGCTCCTGCCCTGGCTCCCACCCCAGAGCCACTGCCGTGCCCGGAATTCCGAGCAGGCTCAGCCCAGCCCAGATGCCGGGCGGACACTCCAGGCGGACAAGCCAGGCTTTATTCCCTGCTCCATCCCAGCCTGGCACGGGCCTGGGGACACAGACCCCGCTCTGTTCCACCCCCGGCATCCCGGGATGCAGCACCAGACACCGGGAATGGCACAGGCACTGCCGGGAGCATCCCAGGATGCAGCACCACAGCTGCTGGGAGGCCAGGGCCCGCTCTCCCAGCCTTCGGATCGGGGGCAGGAAAACACATCTCTGCCAGGCTTTGGGTTAGGGAAGGGAATTGCAGCTCTCCCAGCCCTTGGACTCGGGAAGGTGCAGCTTTTCCAGGCCCTGGATTAAGGGAAGGGAATTGCAGCTCTCGCAGCCCCTGGAATAAGGAAGGAAAAGGCAGCGCTGCAGCGCTTTGGGCGCTTTCCAAAATAGCTGCTACCGGGAAAAAAACCCAGGAAAGCAAGCCAAGGGCCTATGACAAATCC